CCCCACCTCTATCCTCTTCCCGCCCCCTGGGCCTGTCTGTGCTTCTCCCAGGCCAGGTTCCAGCTGTCCTGACAACCAAGTCTGTGGGTGGCCAGAGAAGGCTGGACTGTCTCAGTGGATCTTATCGTGCTTGTTAACCACCATCATAGGCACTTACTGAGGGCTCCCAGCAGGGAGGAGACACCTCAGGATGAGGTAGGGGGGCCCTGGAACCAGAATTATGACCTTGGCCCCTCTCCCCACCCCCACGCCTCCTCCAGAAGCTCTCTGACCTGCCCCTGCCCTGGGGGTGGAGGGAGAAGGCTCCTGTGGGAAGGCCTGGGGAGGGCTTACCTCGTCTCCCACACAGTACTTCCCTGCCGTGCTCTGCAGGATCTGCTCCAGAGCTGTGGGGAGGCCACGAGAATCATCTTACTCTGGGCACAGAATGGACCTCGGCCCCCATCGTTCTGAAATGGGCAGCTATCTGAGTGACCAGCTGGGGCATGTGGGCTCCAGGGAATGTGCCAACCACATCTGGAGAGAGTTCATGGGGGTGTGGGGACAGATGATGTTTCCCTGGGCTCCTCAAGTCCAGCTGTCCTTCCCTCCCCAAGAAGGAACAAGGCTGGCCACTGGCCAAGGCAGCAGCTCTCCCACAGATGTTACTGGTCTTCGGTTCCTGGCTGGGGTGGGCAGTGAGGCCAAGGGTGGACCATCCCGCTCCAAAGGGTTGTGGGCCTCGGGGGCTGAGGTTCCCAGAAGTGCCCGAGGTTGAGGCCAGGTCTGGATGCCATCCAGCCCTACTACTCCTCAGCCCTGCGCCCCTACCCTCATCCATGCCACTGTCAGGAGCAAAGAGCCTGGGAGGCTGAGTCAGATGCCCAGGGCCCTAGGCACAAGGGCCATTTCTCTGAGTGGTCACGGGGTGGCCTGCAGGGGGAAGGACTCACCGTTGAAGCCAGAGCGGATGACCTTCTGGGCCCAGGTCAGCTGGTTCTCCTGTCCCACTTGCTTCAGGACAGACAGGTTCTATGCAACCAAGGATAAGCTGTGACTGGCTTTGGGAGCCAGGCTGGGCCTGACCCCTAGCCAAGCCCCCTCAGGGCAGCTCAGTTCCCACCCACCCCTGGCTGTCCATCTGTCCTTTCCTGGGCTCCATGAGCCCCCTCTCCCCATCAGGGCACTGGGAGGGGGTGAGTGATCCCAGCAGCCACCTTCTCAGGTTGCTTGAGTGGTCCCTGTGGTCTGGAACCTTGTGGCCTGGCAGAGATGTGCAAGGGTCGGGGCACAGGGCGCTGCTGTGGCTTTAAGGTGTGTGGCCATGACCTGAGGCCCATCTCCCCTGCATCCAATGCGTCTCCCTTACATGGCTCCTCGTGAGGAGAGCGGGTGTGTGTGTGCGTGTGCACGTGCACAGCACAGGGCTGGGGCTTGGATGGAGGAGGAGCATAGGACTGGGTTTCAGGAGATCAGGACTCTGATTCCATCCTTACAACCCTGGAGCCATTTCACTTCTGAGCTTCGGCTTCCTCATCTGTAAAATGGGGCTGTCCGTCTGCTCCAACCTCCTTTGTTAAACAGGACAAGGTAACTCGGGGACGGGGGCCAGTGCACAGTCAGGGGGCCCGGGCTCTGGTACTTACTCTGCCATACTTAGGGGAATGACTCTGCAAAGTCCCTCCACCTTTGTGGGGCGATTTCCTCATTTGCAAAGTCAGGGGTTAACACAGATGAACTGCTTGAATACTTATTATTATTATTATTATTATTTTACCAGGAAAACTTTAAAAAATACAATCTTTTGAGACTCCCAATCTAGAACACAGAAGAAATGAGAGGGAAGCTGTTCTGGTTAAAGGCGGGGGTGGGCCTGGGCCTCTGCTGTTCCGCCTCCCCCCTGCCACCTGGCCCCACCCCTCCCCAAGCACTTCTGGACGAGTCCTTGGAAAACCTGGGGCTTCTCAGAATGCGGCTGGGGACCCAGCAGGGCAGATACTTTCTGGGATCCCTTACCCCTCTGCCACATGGTCTAGGTCTAAGCCACTGAGAATCCCTCCTGTGCTCCCGCCACCCCCACTCCCAAGCTGGGTGCCCCACTGTGGCACCTCACACTCCGCGTGTCTGAAGGTAAGAGCGCGTGGGGGGAGGCAAAGAGAGGTGTGCAGGGGTGAAAGTCCAGAGCCACACCTGCAGGGGCTGGATGCCACTGGCAATGACATCGGAAATCATGCGCACCTGGGCCCTCCTCTTCGGGTCCTGCGGCAGGAGGCGCGGAGTGGGCCGAGTTTCCTCCAGGTACTCAATGATGGCCAGCTGTTTGGAGGGGAGCAGTGAGGCATGGGGAGGGCATGTGGACCCCTGGACCAGAGTGACAGGGCCAGCAAGCTCCTCCTCGCCCTCCTCAGCTGGAGCCCATGAAGCCAAAACTCCCCCAGGGAGGAGCTCTTCTTGGACCCCCATCCTGCAGAACTTGGTTCCCCAGAGGCTAGAGTCTCCCCTCACTTCCCCAAACCACCTGGCAAACTTCCTCCATCTGGCAAGAACTTATCACGTCCCTACTAAGGGCCAGGCGCTTGGCCACCCAAATAAGGGCTGTGAGGTCCTCTCGTTCAGGGCACCGCTCTCACCAGGGGCCTCCCAGACCCTGCACTCACTGACTGGCCAATGGTGATTCCGTCGATCTTCAGGGCCGGCACCTGCTGCATTGGATTCAGTGCCTGGAATTCTTCAGAGAACTGTGGAGACAAGGACCTGATGAGCGAGGTAGCCTGGCCCAAGTTGGCTAGAGCAGAACCAAGCCAGCAGGAAGACCCCAGGCCTGCGGCCCACCTGCACCTCCCTCCCCTGGGGAAGGCCCTGGCTCCAGAGAGATGCCTAGGGGATCCATGCCATATCCCCAAATCCAGTGGCTGCTGAGCTCCAGGATTCACCCCAGTGGCCTGGCTATGTGTTTTTCCCTGTACCTCACACTGTGGCCATCAAGGCACGTCCAGAGGGCCCAGCATGAGGCAAGGACCCACTCGCTGCCCACTCTCCTGGGGTCAGGCACCGAGAGACCAGGTTGTGGCATGGGGCCTGGAACCTGGGCCCTTCCCATGGCTCCTCGTGCTGCACAGCCTGTCCCCTTACTCCCACTGGGAGGGCCGGCAGGTTCACCTTTTGGGGGGCAGAAATCTGCACCCTCTGCTGGGTCCCTCTCCAAGACTTCCAACTCCCACATTGTGGCCCACGGGCGGCCTCCTTACCTGCTGTCCCCCATCCTTTATGAGGTTGATAGGTACGGTCTCATAGTCGATGCTTTTCAAGGCCAGAGCTGTGAGAGACAGCAGTGTCAGGGGACAGCATCTGGCTCCACATGAGGCTGCCAAGGGAGGCTTCTTTCTCCACGCTGCTAGGTGATCAAGGCCCAGCCTGGCCCTGTCCCCATCTCTCCAGCTTCCCGGGTCACCACCCATTCCCCCACCTCAGGTCTCTGACGCTCCTCCTCTCTTGCCCTTGAACTCTCAGAGCCTTACTCTCCACACCCCCTCGGGTCCCCGTGCCCCTGGGCGGTGCTGTCCAGGCGTGTGCCCGGGCAGCCCGGGAGCTCCTGGAGGGCAGCAGGGAAGTGTCCTGATTACCTCTGCCCCCTCCAGGGCCGTAAACAGTGGCGAGCAGGGCTTATTTGTTGGAGACTTGCAATTATTCCCTCATGAAGGTGTCCAGGGGCCAAGGAAAGGTGCTCAGGTGACCACAAAGTGCACACACAAGCAGGTGACACCTGCTAGAGAAGGATCCCATTCTCATCTGTTTTCTCTGTCCTCAGAGTTGTTGACTACCGATTCCAAGCAGAGCATCAGGGCTCTTTGGTGGTCTCACAGCATCTGCTGTTACTCCCAGTGACCAGATTTCCTCTCTGTGCCCTTCGATCATTTTCCCTGGTCAACCGAGTAAGACTCTGTGTGTGTATGCATGCAGACACGCACTGAAACGTGGGGATGGCTGGTCTCGGGTGAAGGCAAAGGAGTGAGGGGAAGAGGAGGAGACGTGTTGCAGGCTGAAGAGAGCCTGGGAGATACGGGGCCCTTCCTCAGCACTGGTCAGCCCCACTGTGGACAAGTGGCCGGGCCCACACAGGCCCTGCAGAGACAGCACTCCTGTGGCTCCCGTCTGGCCAGCTAGGGCAGAGGCCCTGGGCCCAGGGGAGGTGTCTTCTTGGAGAAATGTGTCCTCTGGCACCCCAGTGCGCTTGCCTACTGATTCCAGCAAATACCAAGTGATGGTGGGGTGGGGGAGGGTCACGGCGGATGGCTTCCCGGTGAGGGCCAGACTCCCGGAGGCAGACTGTTTGGGTTCAGAGTCCATCACATTTGCTAGCTGTGCGGCCTTGGGCAAGGAGCTTAATGAATTAATGAGCCCCTGTGCCTCAGTCTCCTCATCTGACAGGCAGCATAGCGCAGTAGTTAAGAACATGGACTCTGGGGTGCCTGGGTGGCTCAGTTGGTTAAGCGACTGCCTTCGGCTCAGGTCATGATCCTGGAGTCCCGGGATCGAGTCCCGCATTGGGCTCCCTGCTCGGCAGGGAGCCTGCTTCTCCCTCTGACCCTCCCCCCTCTCATGTGCTCTCTGTCTGTCTCATTCTCTCTGTCTCAAATAAATA